ACGGCAGGTTAAACAAGCCAATGTAGAATTAGGAAACGAATTGAAAGGATTGAAGCGACAGCAGAACTCGCTGTCTGGAAGTATTGATAATATGAAGAAGATTCTTCACGAAACTACAGAGAAAATGGTGTGTATCGTGAGAAAGGCTTGCATATTTGACATAATTGAAGAGTATTCTAATTGCTAATTTATTGCGTACAGCAAAAGAACCAACTTGAGATTCTAAAGACGCGACAAGATATTGCCCGGCTCGAAGCCCGTATAGTTCAGTCAGATCCCGAGGAGCTAAAATCGGTATGTGATCTTATAAATGGGGAACTTGTCAATAATTCTGACAACATAAGTTCTCAGCTAATGTCTAATGCGATACGGGCAATCTTTCACATGTCACCAAGACAATAAAAGATTTGGAAAATGCCTTGGCGGCGGATAAATATTCTTATTCTGAATTGGAAAGAAAGCTTCACAAGCTTCAGCTTAAAGTGGCTCGAGTGAATTCGATCCGTGAGGTGAGAGAAGTAGTAGATCTTGTCCAAAAAAATCGTTTGCTGTCTCGTCTGCTAAAATCCGGCTCAACTTACAGGAAATAATGTCATGTGACAACTACATTGATGACGTAGAAAGTGAGGGGGCAAAACGCGACAAAGCAAGCAAAGCTATTCAGCAAAGTCAGGATAGACTTGCACAATGTCATTTGATGCTACGCGATAAAGAAACCGAAGAGGTTGCTTTTTATTCTACATTATTTGTAATTGATAACGTAGCCACCATGCACTAAATAACGTGTTTTATCGAGTAGAAATCTGCGCACAAGACTTTGGATATGAATAAAGAAAAGCTGCAACGATTGCAACAGCGAAGGCAAAGTATGAGGGATATGCATCAGAAAAAAATTGCTGCACTTGAAGAAGAGTACAAACAAGTTAAGGAACAGGAAGTGGCCAGTCGGGAACTAGTAGATAAAAATAAGGATGATATAACCAGGATTGACGAAAAGGCAAGTATAATGCACGTACATACCAATATTGTCCTGAAACGTTCGAATGTCATTATCAATAACCCACACCTTTTATCATAGATGAAAACTATGGAAGAAGACTGGCAACAAAGGCTGGCAACAATCAATGTTCGGTATTCACACTTTAAG